ACACACACACACACACAACAAAAAAAAAAACACAAAAAAAACGCAGCCGGCGATGAGTTACGTCCACGCAGAAAGAAAGAGAAGAAAAGTGACACTCTGACACTCTGTGTGTGTGTGTGTGTGTGTGTGTGTGTGTGAGAGAGAGAGAGAGAGAGAGAGAGAGAGAGAGAGAGAGAGAGAGAGAGAGGAGAAGAGGGCGAGAACGGAGATAGCGATGGGCACCTACGGCTCAGCCGCGATAAAGGTAAACCTGCCGTCCTTCTACTCCATATCCCATATCCCCCTCTCTTCCTTTTCTCGGATTCCTCTTCCTTATTCGACTTCCTACATTTCTGTAGGAACAGGCCACTTCAAATGTTTTGCGCATCAATGTTATGATGCCAGGGCACAGTGCGGCCTCTTAGGTTTACACTTCTTAATTAATCCCTTTTGTCTTTTTTCTTCCCTGGTGCCGATTACTGATGCATAATAACTGGCAGCCGATTTCGTGCAATATCTTTCCTGGTGTGGCCGAAGTATAGCTTCTGCCTCCTTTCCCCCCCGCCAACGGTTTTTTTTTTTTTTTTTAATGCTTATAAAAATTCGGACCATTTCTCGATTTATGCGTGACCCGCCGGTGACCGGCTGACGGAATTCTAAATATCTGCAGGCAGCAGTTTTTCTACTAAGATCTGCCAGTGGACGACACTGGACGTAATTGCGGTCACACCAGTCTCGAAATGTGAAAAAGACAGAAATGTATCGGGTGCATCTGGCCATGTTCCCGCCGGAAGTTCATTCTCATTTTCCACATTTCGAGAGTGGTGTGGCCATGTCCAAGGTCAATACTGTCAAAAAAAAAAAAAAAAAGAAAGAAAGATACTGTCAACCGCGGGTGTGGCCATGTCCAAGGTCAGTAATGTCAAAAAAAAAAAAAGAAAGATACTGTCAACCGCGGGTGTGCCCATGTCCAAGGTCAGTAATGTCAAAAAAAAAAGGGAAAAAAAAATGAAAAAAAAAAGAAAAAAAGAAGAAAGATGCTGTCAACCGCGGGCATCATACTCAGAAATCATTCAGTCGAGGGAATGGGACCAGCCCCCTAGCAGGCTTGAGCTCGGCCCAGGATTCCAGAGTCCAGACCACCGTCTTCCCCCGAACATAACGCATCCTCATTTTGCCTGTACGGGACAGGAAAGATGGCTTCTATACATTTATTATCAGAGTGCGTTATGTTCGGGGGAAGATGGCAGCCGGAGCATGGTTAAGGGGACGCTGGACCCCGTTTCCAGTAGTCTCCGGGGGCTATGTCCCACTTACACGAATTATTAAGCGATATTGACCGTAGATAGCCAAGATCAACGGCCAGAATCTTTTCATCGGTGCAAGTGGGACCTTGGCCCGGGGGCATGGTCCCACTTGCACGGATGAAGAGATTCTGGCCGTTGATCTTTGCTATCTACGGTCAATATCGCTTAGTAATTCGTGTAAGTGGGACCTAGCCCCGGGTTGGGATGAGCAGGTGGAATGGGTAGGGTAGGTGGCCTACCCTGTCAGGACAACCATTGGCTGCCCGTACAAGCAATCACCACGGATCTGGTCCTCGGCCTCTACAAAAGAGAAGAAAAAAAAAGAAAAAAAAAAGAAAAAAAAAGAAAAAAAAAAGAAAAAAAAAAAAAGAGAGGATCTGTCAGGACCTCGGCCCTGGTGAGAGCTGCCCCACTGTTACCTCGTGCCGGGGGCCAAGGTCTCACTCGCGCAAATTAGGAGATTTCGGCCGTTGATCTTTGCTATCTACAGTCAGTATCTCTTAATTCGTGCAAGTGGGACCTAGCCCCGCTAGTATGCCGGACTCTGCTGACTGGGCCCGTGAGAGTAGGGGCGAGGTCCCACTACCAAGGGGATAGGATAAAAACGTGTTTGTGGGGCAGGTGAGTGACCCAGATCCTGCAGTGCAGTACTCATGATCCCACGGTCAGTATGTTACATGTAAGACCTGAAAAGTAAGGAGATATTTGTTCCCCTACTCCACTGGGCATGCTCGTGCAAAGACAGCGTCCCGCCAGAATCTTTTCAATAGGTTGGGGGTGCGGCCAACCCCAAAAGAGGGTGGGGTCGGCCATAGGCCCACTGGATAAAATATTTGCAGTATTTTACTTGCTGTTGTGCAATTATCTCATTGGGTGAAGACCTCCTTCAATCACCGAGTATATGGAGGGTGTCAGGATCACTACTGACAGAAGTCGAGTTTATTCCAGAAAAAAGTGGCGGTTACTTTGTTCACTGTTGTTGCAACCACCACCATCAGATCATTTCTGATCTGATGGCTGGGAAGCACTCTGCCGTGATTTCCCGTGGGTGGTCTTTTGCCTTTCTCCTGTTTTCTCAGCCCAGAAATTCGTAATGAACCTGTCAGGCCGCTGCCACTCAGTGTCACACTGGATCGGCCACACTCCTATCCGACTGCTAATGGGACCTCGCCCTAGGTTAGACAAGTAGATCAGACAGCCTAAAGGCTGTGAGGTTAAGCGGGCGAAGCTAGCTAGCTAGGTTTAAGCTATGAGATAGTTTTCGGAGTTTTCGGAGTCGCCCCATTTTCAGCTGGTTAACTCTCCACGAGCGAACCCGGGTAATGCTCCCGGGGATTGATTATTCTGGAATCCGGGTAGACTGTGGTGCCCGTGGCCCTGATCCTGGTTTTCTATTATAAGGGACACTGGGCCCGGTTCCCAGCAAGTCTTGCAGCTCCCCACAAATAGATCGGAGCCTTTGTTAAAAAAAAGAAAGAAAAAAAATGAAAAAAAAAGAAAGATACTGAGAGCCTTTTGCCCATTGCAAGTGACATTGGGCCTCCCCCCACACCAGTCTGGAAATGGGCAAAATGACAATGAACTTCCTACTAGAACATGGCCAGATGCACCCGCCACATTTTGTTTTTTCCCCCCCTTATTTCGAGAGTTACTGTGGCAGGCCCAATGACCCTCGCTCCACTACTCTTCAGATGACATTGTACAAATTTAATGAAATTGAACTTTACCTGAGAACATGGAAAGATACACAGCCGTGAAGTCACGAAAACAGTTCGAAAATGCACTTCAACAGTCTGAAAATGCACTTCAAGCAATCCCGCCAACACAACACATCCCCACGTGACCCCACCGGACCGGAAACCTGGGTTCTATACATTCACCATAACCAGCCCTTTTGCCTCAAGTGCATTTTCAAACTCAAAACCTCACTGCGCCATAGTTTTCTTTTTCTTTTTTTATGCTGGCCGAGAGTCTGCCTCCTCTTTTATTTGTGACTCTCCTTCTTGTTCTTGGAAGAACTGTCCTTTTCGACACACCCCCGCACCAGAAACACCTCCCCCGACAACACTCCTTGTTCTTGGATATGTCCCTTTCGACACACCCCCGCACCAGAAACATCTCCCCCTACTTTCCCCTGCGCCAGCAACACCTCCCCTGACACGTTCGCGGGCGTTCGGGTGCCTGCCCGAACGCGTCGAACGCGTTGAGTCGCGTTCATTGCACATGTTTTCACTGCGTTCAGAACACGAACGTGAAACGTGTGTTCATTGAACGCGCCACAACACACACCACCAGTACTTGGGCCAGCTATGTATGCCGAGCCCCAGGGCACTCTGCACCCCAAGTTTAAGTTTTGACGAAACCCCACGGGGGCCAGCACTACATTTTGTTTTCATTTTGGCTGGGGCCTCCAGCCGTTGTGGTCCGGTACCCCGAAGCCCTAAAGGCGTGGCGCATTGAAGCACCAGTACAGCACACATCGGCCCCTCGGTGTCAGCACGAAACCTGCACCACTTCGAAGGCCGCTGGCTTTTTTTTTCATCAGCGCCCCACGCCGCACGGCCCCTCCATGTTTTGCTTGTGGGGACAAAAACTTTCTGCAAGGCTGGGGCTGTGTACTTGGGTTTTACCTTGGCTGGCGCCTCCAGCCATTGTTGTACGGTACAGTGAAGCCCTAAAGGCACAGCGCGTTAACGGGGAGGGAAGTACCACGGCCGATGTATGGGCCAAGTACTGGTGGTTTTAACGAGTTTTCCAGTGTCCGTATCTACCAATCCCCAAACATGTAAGGGAAAATGTGTAGAGAAAATGAAAGTGATAACATGTAGAGCATGCCTATATAATTTTGGAATTTGTTGGCAGGACATGGGGGGTCTCCCAGTTG